TAGAGGTCTTTCACCTTTTTTGGTAGATTGAATCCCAAGTATTTTTTGAGGCTATTGTGAATAGGATAGTTTTCATGATTTCTCTTTTAGCTAATTCATCATTGCTGTATAGGAATGCAATTGATTAATGGGTGTTAATTTTTTATTCTACTACTTTGCTGAATTTATGCATGAGTTGTAGAGGTTTTCAGGTTGAGTTTTTTGGTTATTCTAAATGTAGAATCATGTTATCCCCTAATAGGGACACTTTGAGCTCTCCTTTTCCTATCATATCCTTTACTTTCTTTCTTTTGCCTAATTGCTTTGGCTAAAGTTTCAAGAACTTTATTGAATAGAAGGGATGAAAGGAGCATCCTTGTCTTGTTCCAGTGTTTATAGAAAATGCTTCAAGTTTTTCTGCATTTAGAATGATGTGGGACTTGGCTTTGTTGTATATAGGTTTTATAATGTTCAGGTATGTTCCTTCTATACCTAGTTTTACTACTGCTATAAACATAAAGCACTGCTGTATTTTGTCAAATGCTTTTTGTGCATTTATTGAAATAATTATGTAATTCTTGTTTTTAAGCCTATTGATGTGGTCAGTTTTGCTTATTGATTTCCATATATTGAACCAATCTTGCATCCCTGGGATGAACCCCACTTGATTATGATGCACGATAGTTTTAATATGTTTTGTATGCAATTTGTCAGGATTTTATTAAGAATTTTTGCATCTATGATTATCAGGGATATTGGTCTGAAGATTTCTTTCCTTGATGTGTCTTTGTTCGGTTTTGGTATCAGGGTAATACTAGCTTCATAGGATGAGTTTGGAAGAGTTCCTTTCTTTTTTATTTCATGAAATAATTTAAAAAGAATAGGTGGTAGCTCTTCTTTGAAGATCTTGTACAATTCTGATATGAATCTATATGATCTTGGCCTTTACTTTGTTGGTAGGCTTTTGATGACATCATTAATTTCATTGCTTGAAATTTATCTGTTTAAATTTTCTATATCCCCCTGATTCAATCTGGGTAAGGTCATGTCTATATAAATTTGTTGATATCTTCAAGATTTTTTATTTTATTGGAGTGTACATTTTCAGAATAATTTCTGATTGTTGTTTGTATTTCAGTAGTGTCCATGATGATCTTTCATTTTTCACCACAAATTTTAGAATTTTTTTTGTTTCTTAAAGATGGCTAAGGATTTATCAACTTTATTAATATTTTCAAAGAACCAAATTTTTGTTTTATTGATTTTTTGATTTTTTATTATTTTGTTTTAATTTCATTGATTTCATTTCTTATTTTAATGATTTTCTTCTTCTACTGCTTTTGTTATTGATTTGTTCTTCTTTTTCCAGGGCTTTGAGGTGTAAGGTTAGGTTATTTATTTGATGACTTTCTATTATTTTAATGAATGTGCTCAATGCAATGAACTTTCCTATTACAACCAACTTAATATTGTTCCAGAGATTTTGATATGTTGTGGTGTTCTTCACATTTACTTCTAAGTATTTTTTAAAAATTTCATCCCTGATTTCTTCTGCTAACTATTACTTATTCAATAGTTTATAATTTAGTATCCAGGTGTGTTATTGTAGCTTCTAATTTTTGTTTTTTTATTGATTTCTAATTTTGTTCTGTTATGATCTGATAGAATGAAAGATAGTCTCTATTTTTTTTGGTATTTGCTAAGAGTTTTTTTTTTTTTTGGTCTAAGATATGTTCTATTTTATAAAAATCTATATGCTGCTGAGAAGAAAACAATATTCAGTTATTGATGAAATAGTCTATATGTGACTGTTAAATTATTAGTTGTGTTTTTTAGTTCCACAGCTTTGTTATTTTGTTTTTGTTTGGAAGATTCATGCAGTGATGAGAGAGGTGTTTCAAAGTACCCCATTTTATTGTGCTATGGTCTATTTGATTCTTGAAATTGGGAAGGGTGTGTTTGTTGCATATAGATGCTCCATTGTTTGGGGCATAAATATTTATGATTGTTATTACTTGTGTGTATATAGATAGATAAATACACACACACACACATCTATCTATCTACCTATATAGATGAGATACAGTTTTAAATATTTGAACTATTTGCAAAGAACTAGCACAAATCTAGGGTCATTTTTCAGTTTACAAGTGCTATTAAAAACAACCCCAATATTAGTGGGAATGAAAATTATCTCTTCAAATTAACACTGATAGCATTTGTACTATAATTACCAATGTGTATTTAAAAAAAATACAATGAATATAACTATTAACAAACCCAAAGAGTCCCTTGGAAATAAACTTGTTTGGAATATTTTAATTATTAGGTCCCCAAGGAACAGGAGAATTCGTATAAAAGTCCTTAGTCCTGCTGGTGAATTTATTCACTTAGACAGTTGGAAACAGCTCCTATCTTGGTGAGTGTCTTCTGTAATGATTATACCTTGCTTTCATGGGGCAAAAGTTGGGCTTGGGTACTTCAGGTGGTAGGGGTAGTGCTCAGTGGAAGGGGTAGTGCTCAGTGCTGAGCATGCATGAGGCCCTGGTTTCATCCCAGCAGCTCTGAGAACAAGAACCACTGATTTGTATCCAATTGAGAAACTGTATTTTTTACTACTCAATATTATGTCTGTAAGAGCATTCCTCTGTGTCACTCTGATCCAGGTTGTCCAGGGATGCAACATATCTTTGCTTAAAGACTCCTTTGGTCACAGATAAGAAAACACACATGACTGCCTACTTGATACTTTTATTCCATAAAACTGTTTTACATATGAGAAGAATTTACTGAATCCAGTAGCTTGATTATATATTTTTGTTAATTTCCTTTTAAAACAAGAGTTCAAGCTCCACTTTCCTCCCCGCATTTCCCATCCTGTATCTTCCCTTCCCTGTATCCTGTCTCTACACAGAATTTTTAGGCTATCAAAAGAAATGACCAGTTGGAAGCTCCTAAGAGAAAATGCCCTTCTTTCTTAGGAAACAGAGAGGCCTTTTCTTCTTCCCTTCAGCCACTCCAGGAACCTCTGCCTGTCTCAGAGTGGTCACACTGTTCATGTTATGACCACCCTCTTGCTTGCTCTCATGGGCTTTCGCTGGGGAACACTTGAACTTGTATCAAATCTACTGACTACTGGTTCAATGACCTTGGTATTTTACCCTAAGCAGCAGTGTTTTTGCCCCAAATATGAAGTTGATAAGAAACTGGTTTATGGAAAGCCAATGTATCATGAGGTTTTGGGGTCAGGATCTTTAATGCCAATCCTTTTATCACATTTGTCGATCTCAGATTCTCTAGTTTGCCTTTCATAAGAACAAAATGATAATGATAGTAGCTCCATTATAATTTTGTTAATGGTTTTGCTGACAAATGGTTATAAAGCATTTAAAATATTTCCATTATACATAATCGTCATTTTATAAAGTTTGCTGTTTATCCACTAAATGTCATTCTCTCCAAGGAATTACACATGGAATGACAAATACATACATAGGTGGTAGATAGAGATAATTTATTAAATACAGAAACCATAAGATATTTTTGCCCTTGTTGTGGTGTCGATTAAGATAACTTACATTGTTACACAAAGTCACATTGTCTACCTATGGCCAAGATAGACAGGCAACCAAAATCTTACTAATGCTAATACAATGAATTTGATAATTTTGCAAACAATCAAAATGATAAATTAAGCGCTGCCCTGCCATGGACCTCCTTGTATTCACAACCAGGAAATAAGGTAGGACAACACCTTGAACAGGTGCTTAAGCTTCTGGCCATCATCCTTCTCCTGTTCAACTTGTCCATGCCAGAAGAAAGTTTATGATTAAGTAAGATGAAGTTTGTAGCCCTGTCACTGTCATAGTACTTACTTTATAAATTACAGAAAAATATTTAATGTCCTTCCTGCCTTTCTGGGGTAATACTAAGATAGCAATTGCATGCTTTCCTTTTAAGATTATTTTATGTATCTCTAAGTCTATTTCTGAGCTTAAGTTCAACATTACTTTCACTTCAAAGTCATATCAATTCAACTCCTTCAGGTACTTCAGGTTCTACTCCTGAAAATATTCTGAGAATTTGGAAGCAGTGATTGAAAACTGTCTCAGGCTTAACCAATTATATTATGCTGAAACAAAAACAGTGGCTTTTTCGGTTTGCTAATTGTCTTAAAATAGCAAGAACGTCTATGATTTAATTAGAAGTAAACTTGCAACTAAATGCTGAATCAGTGGAATAATATTCACTATTTACTGATGACATACGCCAAAATAATAAAAGCAAACAACTTATTTCATGTTTAATTTATTATGTGCACAGGATATATGGTGTTATCCAAAGATTTTTCTTGTTAAAAATATATTCAGATCTGATATTTACTGTTGCTTGTTTTCATTTCACTAACAGAGCTTTTACTTTATATTTTAAAATTAAACACTTATCTAGCACTTTTTTATTAAAATACTCAATCCACATTCAAGAAATATAACATACTAGCGTACATTAAATCTTAGAAAACATTGTTCTAAAGTTCTCATTTTTATACTAGTCTAGGAATCAATTTTAAATGATATTATATAAATATATATATGTATATATATATATACATATGTATATATATGCATATATATATATATATATATATATTCATGTTCTTTATACCATCATCAATCAGTCCATTAATTTATTGCTTTGTTAGTACTCTTAGCCAGCTATTGTTTTATGACTGAAAATGTTAGTGAAACCATACGTTGATTCCTGCTCACAGGGAGCCAAATGTCCAATGACAGGAATAATAGTTGATTGAATAAATAAAAGATGTAACTATGAAATCTGATAGCTAATAAATTATGAAATGTATCTCCTAGTTTATGCTTTAGAAACTTTGATCATAATGTATTTACTGGTTAATTATTTTGTAAACAGTACATTACCTGGATATCTCATTATCATTCTCCTTGCATCTATATGTTAATTTAGAAGGTTAAAATTCTTATAAAAGGAAAATCACACCGAAGATGGAATTTACAGAGGGAAACTACACCTTGGTCACTGAATTCATTCTCCTGGGTTTTCCTACTCGCCCTGAACTGCAGATTGTCCTATTCCTCCTATTTCTCGTATTGTATGGTATGATCTTAACAGGGAACATTGGATTGATGCTGTTAATCAGGACAGATCCACAACTTCAAACCCCCATGTATTTCTTCCTCAGCAACCTGTCCTTTGTTGACCTTTGCTATTCCTCAGTCATTGTGCCCAAAATGCTGATCAATTTCCTCTCAGTAAACAAATCTATTTCCTACTATGGGTGTGCCCTGAAGTTTTATTTCTTCTGCACTTTTGCAGATACTGAATCCTTTATCTTGGCTGCCATGGCATATGACCGCTATGTGGCCATCTGCAACCCTTTACTGTACACAGTTGTGATGTCACGGGGCATCTGTATCAGGCTGATTGTCTTGTCCTACATTGGAGGCAACCTGAGCTCTCTGGTTCACACATCCTTTGCCTTTATTCTGAACTACTGTGACAAAAATGTCATGAACCACTTTTTCTGTGACCTCCCTCCCCTCCTTAAGCTCTCCTGCACAGACACATCACTTAATGAGTGGCTCCTCTCCACATATGGCAGCTCAGTGGAAATTATCTGCTTCATCATCATCATCACCTCCTACTATTTCATCCTTCTTTCAGTCTTAAAGATCTGCTCTGCTGGTGGGAGGAAGAAAACCTTCTCTACCTGTGCCTCTCACCTGACTTCTGTGGTCATCTACCAGGGGACTCTTCTCTTCATTTACTTCCGTCCCAGGTCTGTGTATGCTCCCAACACTGATAAAATTATCTTGGTGTTCTACACCATTATCATCCCAATGCTGAACCCATTGATTTACAGTTTCAGAAATAAAGATGTAAAACATGCAGAGAAGAAAGCTCTACAATCAAAGGTAAATTCTTCATGAGAGAAAACATTTCAAGATTCATCTAATTCCCTGATTAATAACTCTAAATGGGCACCTGCAGCAACCTGACCAGCAGGCACACACCTACTTGCATAACAGGCTATTATCACATTTGTTTTTTTTCACACAATCAATAACAGGCTATTATCACATTTGTTTTTTCACACAGTCAAATGCTTTTTATAATCCCATGATAAAAGTAAACATTAAAAAATGTTTTGTTTATTAAGCAACTAAATAATAGCTGCTCTTCAATATGTGTTTGGTTACAGGCTTGGGATGTATGTTAAAATTGTTTGGGTCATGATATACTAAATATTTCAGAAAACTGTGGATACATATGTATGCAGAATGTCTCAGAAGTGTGGGTTTCTTGGTAGGAGAAGATGCCAGATTGCCTAGATATGTATGTTATGTCTGCTCCTGGATAATGAATGGTACAATGAAAAAATTGCTGTACTTTTCTCAGCCACAGTTCATTTGCCTGAAAATGAGAGAGAATACTTTTACCTGTATCATTGATTTTAGTGGTCAGTAGTGTTGATACATTTAAGTGCTAAGAATAATATCTGTACAGTTTTACCAGTTAAATGATTTTTACTTTATATAGTTGTATTGCACATTAATTAGAAGGCACATCATATAATAAGGAACATTTGGAATGCAAAAGTTTAAAAAATAGTTTTATAAAGGTCAGTTTAGTTATTTTTTAATAATTTCTACACTTAGTTTACCCCAGAGTGTTTTGGAAACTTGTCTAAATAGCAGCTTGAGCAACAGAGGTAAATTATAATAAAAAAAATAATTGTATTTTTTCTTATCTCTTATTGTTTATCCTGCCAAAGTATTGCTGACAGTATGGAACATTCTGTGGCATCTCAGAAACAGTGTGAGCCACTATGTTATGACAGTGTGTACCAATGTCTTCATGGAGAAATCATTTCAGTGCTATGGTAGAATACTATAGTGGGAATTCATTGCAAAATATATTTCAGAAACCAATACATTTTGCTGTTCATAAATATTATTCTGTGATAGTAAATACTAATAATCTTTGATCTGGAAATACCTGAGTAAAAGTATATTTACAACAATATTCTCTATATTACAGCCAAAATAATTTTAGTGCCAGTTTTAAAATTCTCTATACAAATTTTCTTGATATTTCTCTCCTACAATGTTCTTTCTCAGCATTTCTGGTGCTTCATTTGGTAAGAAGAGAGCACACACTCTCAAAACTACAATCAAACTGAACACTCTAATCCTGAATTTGGTTTCACTGTTATTCAACCAAGTTTATAATCATACAGAGCATGTTAGATGCAGGGTTTCTAAACAAAACTTTTTATGCCAGTCACGTCCTTGACATACTTAAGCATCTATTAGTGATAATATCTACATTGGGTAGATTAAAGTTGCAAATTAAATTCTTACATTTGCTATACTACTGCCATTTGGTAGTCAATAATTATATCACAGACATTATATTGTTTTTCAGAAAACATGATTATTTCTAAGTAAGAAAATAGTAAAAGTTAGAATGTGCCAGTGGTTTTTAGAGTTCCTCAGGCGATTCCAATGTACAAGCTGGAGCAGCATGAAGAGAAACCCTGGCTCAACTCAGCGTGCTTAATAAGCACCCTGAGGGCTGCCATCATCTGCTATGCTTCCTGGAGTCCTGCCCTCCTCATTATACAGGGAGCCTGCTGTATTTCTTCACTAATGGCAGGTGCTTGCTGAATTCCCGTGGCTGTAATGCAGCTAGCAAAGCTGAAATTGTATTTTAGATCCAACACAATCATCATTTTGAGAAGCTGACCACCTACCTACAATATGACTAAGACCTTCCTAAAGCATCTTTGCTGAACTATGTGTGGTCCCTGTGCTGGTATCAAAAGGAACTTACTCTGAATTTCAATATTGGCAGCGGAAACCTGAAAGTATTATGGGGTTAGGAGGTTTATGTTGAAGTCTCATATAATTACTTCTTTAAACTAATTCTAACCTAGGAATTGATTGGATAAATGTAGCTCCCAGCCAGGAGCCTACTGAGAATGATACCCAGAAGAATCCAGCCCTTTCAGTGTGCCATTCATAAACATTTAATTTTCAAATAAAACCAATTATAAAAGTGTGCTTATTCCAAACAGATGTATGCATACAACTGAATAAAGAAGATATACAGAATTTTACATGTCACTTTATCTATCTGGGGTGATGGAGGATTCTTCTAGCTATGTCCACCGAAACTTTGTACTACTTTATACTTCTAAATCACTAAACTGTTGATTTAGAAGTATAAGCCACAATTACCATGTCTTATGTTAAGAAGCAGAAGAATGGACGATGGGGGAAATATTGGATATTTATTTGTGTGTGTGAGTGTATGAAAATTCTAGAGATAAATAAGTAGTACAATCTTTGTTTCAACTACTGTTGATATCATTACAGCTGGAACACATAAATTACTTTTTTCAATAATCTATTTCAAACTCTCTTCAGTCTCAACAAACACCTCAACTGTTATGATTTCTTTTCTGGTAAAAGTATTCAAACTATTATTGTTAAAATGTCCATTTCACTAGTAGTTATTTTTATATTGAACTGTTTTACTTTTCTATTAAGTTTTTCCAATGGGAGTGAACATAATATAAGAGACTTCAAAGGCTCTCCTGCCTTCCATAAATTCTGCCCACCTTCCTCATTATATGGAAGTAACAACATAACTTATAGACAATCACCACAATCAGGACGTTTTTCCTGATGGTTCAGTAGCATGGGCATCCCAATATGACCAACTAACAGTCCTCCATGTAATTTGATGGAATTCTTGCTAGGATTTCGGGAGAAAGAATAATCAAACACATACCTACACATCAGTGATAAATCTATTGAAAGAGAAATTTTAAAAACAAATTACTCCATTCACAAGAGCTGCCCCAAAATAAAATACTTGGGAATAAATATAACAAAAGTGATGAAAGATCTCTACAATGAACTATAGAACACTGGAGAAAGAATTGAAAAAAGACTTTAGAAGATAGAAAGATGTGTTTTAATAAACAAAGCATATTTCAAAATTGTGAGGATGGAAGACAAAATTTTCTTAATGTACCTTCAGATACAAAATTGTGAGGAGCTGTATCTTTTTCTCCCTTAGTTTATCATACTTGATTTTGGTGAGTTAAGAGTAGCATTATCAACTTAGCATAGAAGACATCATTCCCCCAGGGGAAAAATGGATAATTATTCAAAAATCATAGCAGTCTCAGGATGACTCAAGGAGACATTTATTTATCTGCTATAATAGAGTAGGGCAAAAAAAAAAAAAAAAGAAAAGAAAAAGAAAGAAAGAAAGAAAGAAAGAAAGAAAGAAAGAAAGAAAGAAAAGAGAAATGGAGGATAAATTCACAGAAGACTAGTGGGAAAATAGAATGTTTGAGATGTTTGTAGATGGCTAGAAATAAGAGACAGGAGAGTGTGGCCGGTATGAGCCACAGGGTGGGTACCATCTTTTGTCTCCAACAATGTGCTCTGTTGGAAACACAAAAATATTTTGCCCCTGAGGGTGTCTTGCTGTGGACAACCCTAAAGTGAGAGATGTTGCTGCTTGTAACTTGTCACTAATGGACTACTATTGTGTCGCCTTAGGAATAAAACCAACATCCTTTTCGAACACACACATACCACTCACCCCAATGCTGCGGCCTTTCCACAAGTGCTCCCCTGGACATCAGTTACACAGATGCAGTATATGCATCCATGCTTCAGACCCCAGAATCACCAGAACTGCAAGCTAGATTGAATTCTGCACCCAGATGCTCAGTTTCTCTGTGCATGCCCATACTGTTGTCAATAGCTCTATTGCATTAGCAAGTTAGTATGTGCCCTGCACCCCAGAACTGCTGTATCTCCATTCATTTCCAACACAATCTTTCTGAGTGTACCTATGCTTTGGACAACTGTTGCTATTGTTGGAAATTGTCTTTCCAAAGCTCATGTTAAAACCTATTTCTATTGCGGTATTATAAGGCAGGACTTTCAGCAAAAGTATTAAGTTATGACGGTTTTGCTCTCATAAACTCTTAGTACCCTTTCAAAACTGGAACTCTCTGGCACCTCTTAAATGTGACAATATAGCTTTTGCCTAGTCTGCCATTTGGTGGCACCGAAAAGACACCTTCATCTTGGACTTCACAGCTTTCAGCGTTGTGAAACTGAACTTATATAGTTTATAAGTTACCCAGTCTGAGTCATTTTGGTTTAAGAGCAGGAACAGACAATGAAGTTCCTCTTCCATAGCAACCCGACACTGCCTGGCCTCTAAAACTGCAGTTTTCTTCATACACTCAGGCTCTATACCCTGGAATTCCAGCTACTCAACAAGCACTCACACTTGGTACACCATTGCCAATAATATATCAGGAGAAAATGCATCATGAGCACAGATGCTACCACTGCCTTAAACCTCAGAGATACAATTTCTTCATGGGCACTCAGGCTTAAGACCCAAGTTCCTTGCCCATTCCAGAGATTCTGCACATCAGACACCACTGCCACTCTCACCATAAGCAACCTGGACCCAGTGCCAAATGAAATACCCTTAAGAATTATTTCATCACTGGGAAAAAAATATAGTGCAGATGACACTGGAGGCTTCCCCAACCAAGTCTCCTACAGCCCTTATCACTGCTGTGAGAATCCACAATGTTGATCACTAGGATCAATCCAATCCTCACCAACACTGACTTAAACTAAAAGGTTTCATAAAGATCTTGACACTGTTCCCTCACTGGAAGCAGACCCCCTATACTTTGCTCAGACAAGATACTCACATGTTCTATGGGGGAAAGACATTCCACACTGACACCAGACAAGGTAAGTTTCTGTTAACTGTCTTCAAAGAAAGGGACACCCATAAATAGCCTTAAAAGAAGTTAAATAGTGAGCTTAAGGAATCTTAGTCAACATGAAAAAAATACAGAGCAATGATTCAACAA